GGGGCTACCGGAGGAGAGGGAGCAAGGAACAGGGGGGGGGGAACTGGGAGACCTCGGTGAGGGAAGCGACGGTAAAAGGAGACGGACTCGTCAAAGGTAACGTCACAAGAGTGGAGGAAGCGGTGAGACGGCGGGTGATAGAAAAGCCAGTCAGACGAGTCCAGGGGGAAACCGAGGAAGACACAGGGGACAGTGTGGGCAGTGAGCTTGTCCGTGCCAGAGGCACGAACGTGAGCAAGGCAGCCCCAGACGTGGAACGCAGACGCGTCACCGGGGGACCCGGTCCAAAGAAGGGTCGGCGAAACCTGCGGCCGCTGGGAGCGTGGCCACAGGTTAAGCTGGTGAGCAGCGTAGCGAACAGCGAACGGCCACAGAAAATGGGGGGCATCGGCATGGATCATGGAGGTGCGGGCGACCTCCATGACCAAGCCGATGCGGCGCTCAGCAACCCCATTCTGCTGTGGCGAGTCCGGCAAGGTGTACGACTGGGTGATGCCCTCCGCACGACAGAACTGTCCAAGCCGACCAGAGGCGAACTCGCCGCCACAGTCGGAGTGGAGACACAACACGGGGAGACCGCGGTGGAGACGCGCAGCTACAACCCACGGGAGAAGAACGTCGGGCACGTCGGCCTTCCGCTCCAGGGGAAACACCGTGGTGTAGCGCGTGTAGTCGTCGACGAGCACAAGGAAGTAGCGCTCACCGCGCGGTCCGGGGATGGGGGCAGGGCCCCAAACGTCCAGGTGCAGGGTCTGAAGGGGGGCAGTAGCCGGGCGCAGCGAGGAGGAGTGAGGGGCACGGCGGAGCCGGCCCACGACGCAAGGCGTGCACGGTGGCGCACTCGAGGGAGGAAGGGCGGGAAGTGACACAGGGAGACCTAAGACAAGGCCGTGCTGGGACATGTGACGCAGACGAGGGAGAGCAGGGTGACCTCAGCGGTGGTGCCAGAGAAGGGACGGGTGAGTGAGAGAACGACACGAGCAAGCTGCAGCAACCTGGGAGGACGCACCAGCCGGAGGGGAAGCGGTGTCTAGGGTAAACAGACCGGACACCGGGTCCCTGGGGAACGTCGCAAGGGGGGAACCTGAGACAGCCTCAGAACAGACAGCGAACCGCTCGTGCCCGGGGAACGTGGTGGTGACGCCGAGGTCCTGGAGACAGCCGACACCAACTAGGTTCCTCGAGAATGAGGGAACGTGGAGGCCTGTAAGGGAGCCCGAGGGAACTGCTGGACAGGGAAGGGACGTAGAACTGCGAGCGACGACAAGACCCACAGAGGGGTCGGCGAGAGAGACGACAGCTGGCGTAGCAAGCGGCGTAAGTGCGGAACGGTCGCGGAAGAAGCAGGAAGAAGCACCGGAGTCGAGAGTGAAGGACAGCGCAGCAGTGGCAGGGGCGGGGAACGGAGCCGGTGCAGAGACGAGGCTAGACAAACTAGGCAGTCCTACGCCTGACGCAGCACGGGAGGCTAGGCTACACAACGGTGCAACACCTAAACTAGAGAACACAGCATAATAAGATCCAGCAACACTAGCAGCATCAGAATACATGGCATGCAAAGCAGCACCTATCTGATCCATGTCTAACTCAAAGATCGGCACGCCCTGGCAGAGCAGGCTGTGCCATTCAGGGAGGTCCGGGCCGGGCCAAAGCGACGACGAAACAGATCGTCGAGGCGGCGGAAACAGCGGGCAGTCGGGTGCGGGCGGCAGCACAGAGTGCCGCGAAGGGGCCCGGTCTGAAGCTGGTACTGACAGGTGACAGCACCGGAGCCGCTGGTAGACGCCAAGCTGCGCGGGCCGCCACCACTGCCACCACCCCCTAAGGAGCCGGGCCAACCAGGCGGGAGGCGAGCCCACTGCTGCGGGGGCTGCGGCTGGGACGGCGGCTGCTGCTGGGACGGCGGCTGCGGCGCAGGCTGCTCCTGCTGCGGCTGGGGCTGCTGCTCCTGACCACCAATGCTAGTCCCCCCAGACGGACTACTCTCACGACCACCAGCACCAGTACCTGCACCACCACCCCTACCACCCTGGCGACCACGGCCACCGCGACGCGAGCGCTGCTGCGGGTGGACCGCAGCAGCCGTCTCGGTGAGAGGGGTCGCCGTGGCGACTGCAGCCGAAACGTCAGTGAACGAGCACTGGGAGGGGGCACAGCCGTGAAAGATAGAGACTGCCGGCGCACCACTCGACTGAGCGATAGTGCGCTGGCGAGTCTCGATCTCGGTGAGGGTATCGACAAAGGCAGTGAGAGTGAGGTCAGCCAGGTGCAGGCTAAGGAAGTGATCGCGAGCTCTAGGGAGGCGGTCTGGCAGGCGCATGGCGATAAAATAGAGCGTCATGCAGAAAGGGGGGGGGAGCGCAGTGAGCTGGGCAGCAGTGCTGGCAGTGCGATAGCGGGTCTCTAGAGCACGCAGGTGAGTGGCAAAGTCTGCGACGGTAGGGAAAGCTGCAAGGTCTAGGAAAAGCATAAGGAAGAGCAGGCGACCAGCAGAAGCAAACGCGGGTGTGGAATAGCGGGCAATAACAGCGTCTAAGTAAGCTTTGGCCGTCTCAATAGTAGCAAAACGCGAGCGCTCAGAGACAGGGAGGGCATGGCTTATGGCGACCTGAGCAACTGCATCGCGGGAGTCCCAGACCGCACGGGCAAGCGCAGCAGTAGAGAAGGTCTCACGGTCATCAGAGGAGGGATCAGCAGGGAGGGGGGCAGGTACAGGGGGGCGGGGGAGCAAGCCGTCAACATGGACAACCAAAGAGTGGCCATCCTGACGCTGACATGTAAGGTGGCGGCGGAGATCGGAGAGCCAGGCGGCGAAGTCAACCGCATGGCCCTCGGCGTCCAGTCGGAGCACGAAGTCTGCCATCGTGCAGGGTCAGCGGCACAGCTCCACAGGAACACAGCTACAGCCCCTCCAGCACAGTGGCCACGAAGCGCCTCAGCACGGGCGAGCGGAGGAGACGGAGCCCGAGGCGGCACAGCAGGACGAGCCGGGGCGAAAGGGCCAGGCAGGTACGGTGGGGCCAGGCAGGCGCGACAGGGCCAGGCAGGCGCGGCGAGCCAGTCAGGGGCGGCGGGGCCAGGAGGCACGGCGGGGCCAGAAGGCGCGGCGGGGCCAAGCAGGTGCGGCGGGGCCAGGTAGGCGCGACAGGGCCAGGCAGGCGCGGCGGGCCAGTCAGGGGCGGCGGGGCCAGGAGGCATGGCGGGGCCAGAAGGTGCGGCGGGGCCAGGCAGGTGCGGCGGGGCCAGGTAGGCGCGGCAGGGCCAGGCAGGCGCGGCGCGCCAGTCAGGGGCGGCGGGGCCAGGAGGCACGGCGGGGCCGGAAGGCGCGGCGGGGCCAGGCAGGTGCGGCGGGGCCAGGTAGGCGCGGGAGGGCCAGGCAGGCGCGGCGGGCCAGTCAGGGGCGGCGGGGCCAGGAGGCGCTGCAGGGCCAGGCAGGCGCGGCGGAGCCAGGCAGTGCGGCGGGGCCAGGCAGGCACGAGGGGCCCAGGAGGGGCGCGACGGGCTAGGAGGCGCGCTAGGGGCCCGGGAGGGGCGCGACGGGCTAGGAGGCGCGAGAGGGGCCCAGGAGGGGCGTGACGGGCTAGGTGGCGCGCCAGGGGCCCAGGAGGGGCGTGACGGGCTAGGAGGCGCGATAGGGGCCCAGGAGGGGCGCGACGGGCTAGGAGGCGCGAGTGGGGCCCAGGAGGGGCGCGACGGGCTAGGAGGCGCGATAGGGGCCCAGGAGGGACGCGACGGGCTAGGAGGCGCGGCAGGGGCCCAGGAGGGGCGCTACGGGGCCTAGGTGGGGGCGGCGCGACGGGGCCTAGGTGAAAGCGCGACGGGGCCTAGGAGGAACGGGCGGAAGGGGTAGGTGGGGGGGGTCGAACCTACGGGTGATACCATGTCGAGAAGAAAACTGAATATTTGAATAGAGGGGGAGAACAAGGGTATATACTTAAGAGTGTTGTACCCTCTAAGAGGTGACCCTATACAGGCTATACAAATATGAGTTATACATATATTTGACACCTCTACCCACCTAGCTTCTTTTAACAACTCCAATATATAATAAATTTTCATCATCAAATGCTCCGCAACCCTAAGATGATCTCGTCGCCTCTTGTTTTTTTTTGCCTGACAAAACGTGCCTCACCCAAAACCCGACCCTGAAAAACAGCGTTCTCACTTGGGCGACCTGAACAATCTGAAGCCCTCATACATCCCCTTTGCTGGAAGCAGGATGACAGGCTTGCCATTCCACTCAGGCTTTTGTGCCAGACATACCGTATTCTCCCGGATACAGTACCCGCCGGATTTAAGCTCCCATAGGTGGCTTGAGCGGGTATGGGTGTTTAATTAAACTGGATCTAGTTACCACCCTACTTTTGGGCTTGAAAACAATTGAACACCCCCGCCACTTAGAATCCTTATTTCGACAGGGAACAACAGAATTTGCCGTGCGTAAACGTGAGGGCGAGTGGGGGAAACGAGCTGGTGGTCAACCCGAATGTGTCGGAACGGAAAAAAAAAATGTCGAAACCTCAAAATCCAAATTGTTCATTCTCGACTCTCGCACCCTCCCGCTAAAACAAACCTCCGCTGCCGCCCACTGATTGGAGGCAGTAAGGACGAGGCCTGCAGCACTCGTTGATTGGCTGATTTGCCAGCCTCGTCCTTGACTTGACTAGTTTAGCCGACGATGTGGCAAGCAGAAGGGCCACACTGTAGGGTACGCGATGAGGACACGAGATGTTGACATGTGACACAAAACAAAGTGGTGTAACATGCACAACTATTTTGGAATTGAAAAACGCACTTGCACGTTCCATAGGACCATGGTCTTATATTTTTTTTGCATTTAATTCCACCTACCCCAAATTTTTCATGAATTTTTATTAGCTCCCTAGGGTACTATATCCGGGAGAAAACGGTACACATTTTCTGCCATAAATCTTTGAAGAGAATATGGCAGCATGCTGTCCTGACTCTACCCACTGGGCTGGACCATGCCAGTCCCCCAAGTGTCGGATACGGGCAACCGACGGCAATAATAACGGCAACGCGCCAGCCAGCTGCAGCAATGGCGGACTCAGAGTAGCGGTAGGAATTAAGGAGAGAAGGCGGCTGCAATAACAGTGATGTTGTAGTACAACACGAGCGTCATAGTGGTGTTGAAGTTGAAAGTGGCACCAGGAGGGATTATCACCGAGTCCTCAGGTGCACCCAGGGGAGGGAGTACCTGCCAAGAGGAATTGGAATGGAGGAGTTGAGAGACAGAATGGCAGTTGATGATTAGGTGGAGTTGGGGAAAATTGGAGGGAGGGCAGTGTGTGTGAGAGAGAGGAGCGAGGGAGGGAGGGAGGAAGGGAGGGACGAATGTCAAGAGGAGGGGGAAAGATCAAAAGAGAAAGGAGAGAGCAGGAGGGAAACATGCAGATGGATACCAAGCAGGGGAAGGAGCAAGTGAGAGGGCCTGGCAAGGAGTAAGACACTCGCCCATCTCCAAGATGACAATCTGCTCACACAATGGCGATGTGCGAGGCACGGCACGGAGGGATCTTACCCTGAACTGATAATTTTCTTTACTGTGTTTATTAGCTATGCCATATCCAATGAACTGCAGGCGGGGCATGAGGAAGTAGGGGCGAAATCTGCCATTGTAACTAAAGAAGTTGATGCTCAGGCGAGAGATGGCCCGCTGCTGACACGTGTTGGTCAGAATGACCTGAGAAGGCGTGGGAAGAGGGAAGGAGGGAGGAGGGCAACGGGAGGGGAGGGGCGGATGGGCAAGGAGAAGTGATGTGGGGAGGCAAGGGGATGGAAAGCAGAAGCTGAGGGAAAAATGAGGCATCAATTGGATGCGAGGTTGAAGGAGAGAGTTCATTCGAAGGGAGAGCAAGGGTGGGAGAGCATTATGAAGAAACAAATATACGAACAGAAGGTAGTAGGTAAGATGCGAGAAAGGCGGAGTGCGGAGGGCGGAGGGCGGAGGAAGACCTCATAAGGAAACAAGCGATCCACGATGGGAACCTGGTCATAGAGGAATGTCGTCACCACCACTGCTGTTTCAGCGCTGCCGTCCCTGCACTCTGCACGGCAGTGGGGTGGATATGGGGAGATGGGCGAGGGGATATAGGAGATATGGGAATATCGGAGTAAAGGGGGTTGGGTCATGCAGATACCGCACAAGAGCATGTGGGAAGAGGGCACAGAAAAAGACAGAAGAGCGGAAGTGAGGGCAAGGGCATTGGGGAAGGGGGGAAGGGGGAAGGGGAGAGGGGAGCAGGGAGAGGGGCTAAGGAGTGTGGGAGGCTATTGGCTTGAGGCTTCTGCCGGCCACCTGCGGGCAAAGTTGGTGGTTGTGATGGTGCTGCCACAACCGCCCCAGCACCCGAGGCTAGAACCCGATGGACGGGACGAGAGGACCCGGAGGCGCTGGCCAGTGTTGCCGTCCCCACCTGCAGCTGCATACTGCTCAGCCCCTCCCACACACTGCTGCTGTCACTGTCACCGTCAGCAACAACTGCTCCCTCATCTGCAGCAGCAGGAAGGGCAACAGCAGGAGGGGCAGGAAAAGCAGCAGCAGCAGCAGTGCAATGGAGGTCCGTACCATCACTAGAGCCTTTGTTGCTCGCTTCTCTCCCCTCCCTCCCCTTCACCCGCCCTCAGCATCTGTCCCATCCCTTCCAGCTGCCTCACCCCCACCCTCCCTTCTGCCCCCACTGCTTTTTCCACAACAAACCCAAAGTCCCCCCCTACGCCCTCTAACATCCCCCGACCTGGCGCTTCCCCCCCCAAAGGTGCCTCCCCTGCCGTCCCCGCCAGCATCAGCACCATTGCCAGAGTAAGGCAAGGCAGTGCGGGGAAAAGCGCGCGGTGGGAGAGAGCGAGCACCATGGTCAAGAGGGAGAACGAGCGCGCGGAAAGGGGCGGCTGAGATGGCGCAAGTCTGCGCGGAGCAGCGGGCGGTGGGCTGCGAGGCGGCGCCAGATGAGTGGCGGGACTCGCGGAGTGGGTGAGAGCGGACGATGCTGCCACTGCGACTTGCATCCCCAGTAAGGCACGGGTTCGCTCCTCGGCCGCCAGAAGTGACTCTTTCCGCATGGAAGCTCGGTTTTGGATGTTTGAGCTTCAAGCTGCAAGGTGGGGAGAGAGGGAGTGAGGGGCTGTGTTGCTCCCTATGAGATGCGGCCAGGGGGTGAATGGCCTGGCTGGGGGTGAACGGCTGGCCAGGGAAGGACCGCGGATGTGGGAAGGGAGGGTGTGTGTGATGGGTAGAATTGCTCACTCTGAGCTGCCACGAAACCATGGGTGGGGACGGGAGTGAAGGGCATGCTTGAGGTGAGCAGTCTGAGCATCGGTGGGCGGTCTGAGCATCTGTGAGCAGTCTGAGCATCGGTGGGCGGTCTGAGCATCTGTGAGCAGTCTGAGCATCGGTGGGCGGTCTGAGCATCTGTGAGCAGTCTGAGCATCGGTGGGCGGTCTGAGCATCTGTGAGCAGTCTGAGCATCGGTGGGCGGTCTGAGCATCTGTGAGCAGTCTGAGCATCGGTGGGCGGTCTGAGCATCTGTGAGCAGTCTGAGCATCGGTGGGCGGTCTGAGCATCTGTGAGCAGTCTGAGCATCGGTGGGCGGTCTGAGCATCTGTGAGCAGTCTGAGCATCGCGAGGACAAGTGGGGATGTGTGACCTGCCAAGGAAGGAACGACCAGTGGAGACGGGAGAGACCGAGTGGAACAGCAGTGCACACTTGGGGCAGCTTCCGGGGGGGAGCAAGGAGGTGTGGGATGGAGGCGACAGGGTTTCAAGGCAGCGGGGTTCACGCAAGGCACCGCAGATCCCAGTGGGGGGAGGTTGGCATGCCAAGGGGGGAATGACCTGGGGTGGGGAGAGATAGGGACTGAGGTGCATGGGTGCAGTCAAGGGGCGTACCATTTTGCGAAGGAAACGAAAGATTTGTATGGAACGGATGCAGGAACGAGGAATCAGAAGTAGGATGAAGCAAAACGGAGGAAAAACGGAATGAAGGTCAGAAAGCGGAAAAAGTGCCCATGGAAAAGCAGGAACGCCCAACTCTCTGCCTCCTAATTGCGTTGCTCTCTCCCCCCTAATCGCCTGAAACTTTGAACGATCTACCAGCATTGTCGAAATGAGTTGCAGCTGCTCAAATCGACCTTGCTGCTACGTCGAAATGGGCCCTTAAAGCCATCGCACAGAATGGTTGAAATCAACTTCAAAATTCTTGCAGTTGAATTCGTCAAACGACAGGGTTACCCTTTAAAGGTGACGACACCCTCGCCACCCGCAGAAATGAGAGAGCTGTGCTGTGAAGCTGCTGACTGGCCGGATCTAAAGGGGTTGGCATTCGCCACCAACCTCGCACAAGCAACTGTTCACAGCTCCGCACACCACTCTGTACCAAAGGGAATGGGTCAAAACGAGGTTACCAGAGGGGCGCAGTGGAATTGCACCTTCACATCTCAAGTACAGGGAGGGGGGGAGGGATAGCAGGATGGCGGAAGGGGGAGGGAATGGGGGTGGCGCCCTGCTCCACGCGGCGACGGGCTACGTTCTGCCCATCCGCGGGGCAAGGGTGAGGCGCCCTGCTTCACGCGGCAAGTCCGCTACCCCGGCGCACCGACCGATGCCCTCCCGCATGGAGTCCACTCAACCCAAGCCCGCCAAGAACGAGACGCCCTCACGCCTATCCTGCGCAGCCCTCGCGCGCAGCCCGCCATGCCCTCACTCACGCCAAGCCGTGCACGCCAGTCCTTGCGCCGAGCGCGGACTGCCCTCGCGACTAGGCCTGACCGTAAACGCGCCTATCCCGCATTCCCCGCTGCGCCCACCTGGCTTTGCCCGCCAGCCCGTTGAGATAGGGCCGTAGGGAACTCGGGTGACCGACCGGATGGGGGACACAGGGCGAGGGAGAGCGCAATATATTTTGACAATTCTAAAAAACGAAAGAGGGTGGGGGAGATAGGGAGCGCTGGGGGTGGCAAGAGGGGGAAACAGGCAATGTGGGGCGACGGCGGAATGTGGGGATATGAGCGCGGGCGGAACATGGGGATGGTTGCGCGAGGGCGGAATGTGGGGATGGTTGCGCGAGGGCGGGATGGGGACCTTGGAGTGCGCTAGTAATGCTGGACATCCGCCGGTGGTTTTTTCGCCGCGCGCAGGTTTTCCTGATGGGGCTGTGCTCGGCGGACGTCACCTGTGCGTGACTCGCGGCCTGACGGATGCACCGTGCTACAGCACCTGCCGCTATTCCCCGTTGGCGTGCCTGTTGGATTGCTGGTACTTCCTTCTGCTGCCGCATTGGGGGTACTTTCAGATACGACCTAGTAGTTAGGAAATGGGCTGTAGTCCTAACCGTCCTAGCACCAAGGTCAAAATAAATGATGTGGCTTCCGCATACCTTGGCAGAAGGCTATCGAGGAGGATGTCGGAAGACGAAATCCTTCACAAAACCGAACCATAGCTATCCTCGCTACTAAATATTCATTTTTGCATCCAGGAAAATTGTAACACAAGTTCCCAGCAGTTTCCACAGTGCATACATGTTCATTCCAACCAAAAAAAAATTGGTCACCACCTAAGCAACCCCTTGACGTTTTGCATGTTGAGCTTTGGTAATTAAATTTTCGTTCAATGATTGACAAGCATTGCGTGGGTGGCATAAGGATGGCGATCAGCAGCATGCCAAAAGAACTGAGTGCCCCCCTATGGTCTCGTGCACTCACCTACTGGTTGCAGCACCGTGAACCTTCCCCTTCCCCTGCTCATCCCATCATCTCTGCGCACACACTATGCACTACCATATTGGTGCTCTGAACACTTGATGCATAGATGATGATACACTGCTGCATACATGGTGCTACCCATTCATGTAGACATGACATAACATGAGAATGCAAATGGTACTACTCTTGTATACATGAAATTCACATTGGTGTACACATGAGCTCGAACACCCTCCTACTGATGGCAGCACCAACAGCCTTCCCCTTCACGTGTACGCCACACAGCAACCGCTCCTGCGCCTCCCTGTCACCCTCCTGCCATGAAAGTCAAAGATCCATGGGTGGGGGATGACGCGAGGCAAGAGGGAGCGCAGATGAGAAGATTCGAGGAGGTGCGTGGGGGGCATGTGATGAGGGAAGAGGGGAAAAAGGGGGAACGGGCAGATGGGAGGGAGCCAGGTATCACCCGCAGCCTTGCCCTACACGTGCACTTTGCTACACAGCAGCCGCTCCTCTGCCTCCCTGCCGCCCTGCTGGCATCAGAGTGAGAGGCAACAAGGAGGGGGTTGAGTGGGGAGCACGGGGTGGGGGATGAAGGGAGACAATAGGGATGGTAGTGAGTAGGAGCGAGGCAGCACCGACCACCCTCTTCTTCACGTGCACGCCACCCAGCAGCCTCTCATGCGCCTCTCGTACGCCTCTCGTGTGCCTCTCGTGCGCCTCTCGTGTGCCTCTCGTGTGCCTCTCGTGCGCCTCCCTCTCACCCTCCTGAGCATGTGGGTGAGACGCAAGTGCCCACTAAGAACGGGTTTAGTGAGGGGCATGAGACTAAGAACAAGGGGAGATAAGAGAAAGGGCAAGCCGAGTCATCTGGGTGCAGACGAGTCAGCTGGGTGCAGGGGGGGGGCAGGAGAGGGGCAAGTGGACGAGATGATGGATGATAAACGGATAACATAAGGAGGGTGCACCAACACACTTAGCAAACAGAAAACTAGCGAACAGTCAGCAAGGCACCATTAGTTGCAATAAGAGCAGCAAGCAGAGAAGAACAAGGAAGGCAAGCCACACCAGAAAGGCATAGGCAGAGTGGAGGGTGTGCAGGGAGGGGTAGCGGTGCAGGATGGCAGAGGCCATGTCCACTGTCAGGCCCCGTATCTGGTGGCACAAGGGAGTAGGGTGCGGTATGAGCGGGTAGGGTGTGGTATGCGGTGGTAGGATGTGGCATCGGCCTTCTCCACGCATAGTGTCCGGGGAGGGGCAGCGGCGCAAAATGGCAGAGGCCATGGTGAATGTTTGACCGTGCAGCTGGGAGGACAAGGCAACACGACAAGGGGGGATACGAGTGGCAGTGTGGGTGGTAATGGGGAGTCTTTCAGCTAGGATGCCAGAGGCCTCGCACTGCAGCAGCGTGTGTCCAGTTGGACCAAACACGAACAACTCACCTTCAGCAGCAAGTGAAGGAGCAGCAAACGCACCTGCAGGCATCTGCTGCCAACCAACCTGCAGCAGCATGTGGCCGAACACATCCTCGACCGCAGCAGACACACCTGCCGCAGCAGCAGGTGAGTGAAGGTGCAGCAAACGCACCTGCAGCAGCAAGTGGCCGAAGACATCCCTGACTGTGAGGGACTGCGAGGAGCGACAAGCTTCTACAAATTAGTCAAACGTGATGCAGCAGACACGAAAGGGGAGAGGAGATGGCAGGGCATTGGGCAGCTGGGGCGGAGGAGAGAGTGCACGATGGAGTGGAGCTGTCCGAAGGGTATGGGAGAGGTGGTTGCATACGTGGGTGATGGCACGTGTGAGGTGCTCGTAGTGCCGGCGGGTATGCGCGATGCACGTCGTGTGGTGCACATCAAAGCCGTCGTGTGGTGCACATCAAAGGCGTCATTCATGCGCTAGTGTTTGTACGGAGCTGGTGGGGAGAGAGGGCAAGGGAAAAGGAGGGAGAGGATAGGGGGAGAGAGGAAAGCGAAAAGAATACAGGGAGAGTGGGCAATGTATGCAATGTGGGGCGCGTCAAAGCCGTCCTGCACTAGCGTCTACACAGACCTGGCGGGGGGAGAAAGGGAAAACAGAGGGGGGTTGGGGGAGAGCAAAGTGGGGGAGAAGAGAGATTTGGAAGAGGAGAGAGAGTGGAGAGCAAACGGAAGATAGGCAGTGCGTGCGATGCATGCTGTATGATGCATGTTGTGTGCTGCATGCTGTGTGATGCATGCTGTGTGATGCATGCCATGTGATGCATGCCATGTGATGCATGCCGTGTGATGCATGCCGTGTGATGCATGCCATGTGATGCATGCCGTGTGATGCATGACGTGTGATGCATGCTGTGTGCTGCATGCTGTGTGATGCATGCTGTGTGATGCATGTTGTGTGCTGCATGCTGTGTGAGGCATGCTGTGTGATGCATGCCGTATGATGCATGCCGTGTGATGCATGTTGTGTGATGCATGCCATTTGATGCATGCTATGTGATGCATGCTGTGTGCTGCATGATGTGTGATGCATGCTGTGTGATGCATGTTGTGTGCTGCATGCTGTGCGATGCATGCTGTGGGATGCATGCTGTTTGATGCATGCCGTGTGATGCACTTCAAAACTGTCATGTGCAAGTGTTTGGGCGGACCTGATGCTGGTGTGAGGCGGTTACATGAAAGGCAGGGATGAGAGAAAAAGGGGGGTGAGGAGGGCAGGAGGAATGAAAAGCAAGAGACATGCATGCCGTGTGATGCATGCCGTGTGACACATGTGGGAGGTGGGAGGGCTAGGGAAGGGAAGGGAGAGGAAAACGATATTTTGAGTGATTTATGTGGGGCGGTGTGTGTTGAAACCTCCATGACTCATGAATGAGAACATCAGACTGCATTCAGCCACAACTGGTGCCGCCTCACCCTCCAATGCTCTTGAGTGCCCTTACCAAAGGTCCTGCATCCATCCAAACCCTTTCCAAAGTCTTCGCCTTCTAATCACCCAATCTTAGTTTAGCTTAGGGTTGCTTTTCATTCAACTGTTTTCTATCATGCGAGTGCGGTTGCTGCCTTGCCACTTACATACAAAGTGCATGTAAGATGATTCCGTGTCCGTGCTACTTTATGCTACCATGTTCCATTCCAAAAGCGCGAGTCTCCGCCATGCACCGTGCAGAGATGCATAAGCTCACAGAACGAGATGGAGAAGGGGACAACGCACGCCGTGCGCATGCTCTCAGTGCCGTTGCTGGTGTCCAGATTTCCCTCAACCACGTAGATTGGGCAGCAGGCGTTGAAGAGTGCAAGAAGGGTGGTTTCGGACCTTTGAAACACATTGTAAGGAAGGCGACGGGCGGAGAGTGCAAGGCAAGAGGCCATGTGTGAAAGGATAGAGAAGAGGAAGCTCGCACGAGCCGAAGATAGGGATTGGGTGAATTGTTGGTTTTGGAATAATATTATCGGAAAAGAAGACGGGACTGCAAGTGAAATGACACCCAAAGCTGTGAGTCTGCCAGTGGGAATAAAGCGTGCTGCTGAAAGTGGCCAGACATGCATGGCTGGGCTCTGTGTAGCCCAAGAGGCCCTTTTTAAGGTGCCTCTGAAAAGGACATGCTGCTGAAAGTGGGGGAGGGCGTACATGCATGTCTACTACAGTCTAAGGGATGCAGGCCGTAGTTTATTAGACCAACTTCGGGTTGGGTTTGGTCGCGTTGGTCTCCTAAATCGCTCAGATTGGGTTTGGTCGCGTTGGATTTGGTCGACATCGACCTGACGGGATCTGCGCGACCGAAATCGCTCATATATGGAATTTCTACCATTTATTAAGCCCGTCAACCCGAAACTTCTTTGGTAACCTTCTTCCTAGCCTAAGTCAACATCCTACCTAGTTCCTTGCAGAAGCAGAGGGCTACTTTAGCTAGTACTAGTGTGTCCACCCTTCCTTATGGCAGATTGTTCTAGCGGTTTAGGCTGATCTGGATCTTGTTTTTGATGGAGTCGAGTCAACACACACACCCTAAACTCAGAAAATCGCGAACACCTCCAACCCAAGCGAATGTACGTCAGCACCCCCTGCCACTCAAGTTTTCGCCAACACCCCCAAACCACTCGAATTTTCGCCAACACTCCAAACCAGCCGAATTTTCGCCAACACCCCAAACCACTCAAATTTTCGCCAACACCCCCAAACCACTCAAATTTTCGCCAACACCCCAAACCACTCGAATTTTCGCCAACGCCCCGACCCACACGAATTTCGCCAAAGCCTCCAACCACTCGATTTTTCGTCAACACCCCAAACAAACCAAAATCTTGCACGCACCCCCCAACTTGCCGATTTTTGCCAACACCCCAACCACATGGAATACGTAGCCAATCTTAAAATTAGGAGGAAAACAACGCTTGTCACATAGATCGTTATAACGTAGGCTGCTCTGGATGATGCCCTTAAAAAAGGACGCGTCTCCGTACCCGTGGTCGTGTCGGGTCGACCCGACCCGCCTGCGGGTCAGGTATGACCGGACCTGTTTTCGTCGGGTCAGGTTGGAAGAACCCTAGGGTTGACCCGACCTGACCCGATTCGACCCGACCCGAATCCGACCTCGGGTCAGCCAAGTCGGGTACGGGTCGGGTCGGGTCTGGTAGATGCTCAAGCCTAGCTTCTCATG